TGAGTGAGTGAGTGAGTGAGTGAGTGAGTGAGTGAGTGAGTGAGTGAATGGTTGTTTGTCTCTATGTGTCTCTGTGATGGACTGGAGACCTGTCCAGGGTGTCCTCCACCTCTCACACAGTGACTACTGGACATGGGCACCAGTGACGCAGTAACCCAAAATGGATGGCTGGATGGAAACAACCTGCTCTCCGTCTCTATGTAAGGTTTGTGTGTTTCAGAGGCAACAGGTGGTGATGACAGAGCAGCTGGCCAAGACTCACACCAACATCCACTTCTCTGTCCTGCATCCCGGCTGGGTGGACACTCCAGGTGACCGTCCACTCTCCGCACTCATCCAGCCCCACATAACATTCGTGGTTACCTACACTGTTTTGTCCTCTGTGTCTCAGCGGTGGCCAACGCCATGCCAGACTTCCACCGCTCCATGAAGGACAGCCTGCGGACCCCCGAGCAGGGGGCTGACACCGTGGTGTGGCTCGCCGTCTCTGAGGCTGCTGCCGCGAACCCTAGTGGACATTTCTATCAGGGTAGGGTGCAACAAGAGACACATTGTCTTAAGAAGAACTTAAAGACAAAAAATTAACTTAATTATCAAAGATAAGAATAAAATCCTGAGGGAGTAGTGTGTGTGTGTGTGTGTGTGGGTGTGTGTGTGTGTGTGTGTGTGTGTGTGAGGATTTGGCCTGTGTCCAGTGCAGCTGTTGTATGCTGGTTTTGGTGCCAGAGCGTCCAGTGTCTCCATGAGGACACTCACAAGCACAATGTTCCTTTGGTGCTGCGAGTGGTGGTGCTGTGTGTGGGTGGGGGGGGGGGGGGGGGGGGGGGGTAACCTGACAGGAAGCACAGAAACAGGCTGCACATGTGTCCCGACATCAGCTGTCATTCTGATCTGTTTTATGACAGCTGTGGGACTTGCCTCTCAGCTGGAAGTCTGTGGGCATCTTGCTGCAGGATGACGCTTCGTTTCAAACACCTTAAATTTAAAATAGTTTTTGGTTTGTATCTTCAGTTTACTCAACATTTTACTACTGTTAAAAATAACACTTGACCATGCATGACTTTTTTTTGTAGAATAGTTTGTGGAGCCATTTTTTGCAGCAAGGACCTCTTCTGGTCTGTTTCTTGGTCCAACAGGACATGACAGCTGTGTAGTGAAATGCTTAAGTCAGCTCAAAGTTTTAGATCTGTCCAGAGTGTCCCACCTCTCTCCTGGAGGTGGACACCAGCTCCTGGTGACCCTGAAGAAACAGACAGGTGTAACAGTGGATGGATTGAGGTCTGGACTTTGACTGGACCACTCCAGGACATCTGCCTGTTTATCCTCAAACAAGTGGAGTGACTGACGACATTGGCCTGCTGGAAGGAGAACCTCCATTTCCAGTCTCAAATCTCCGGAAGGCTCCATCAAGTTTCTCTAAGGACTTTCTCTGTATTTTTCTCTATTTGACCAACACCCCCACAGCATGATGCTGACTCCACCATGCTTCACAGTGGGTATGGATGAGTGCACCAGATGTGGCCTTGTCCCTGATGGTCAGGTTTGATATTAGTCTCATGTAGGCCTGTCACAATAATCAATAAATCAATTAATCTCGTGATAAATGAAAATTATCAACCTCATTTTCATTTATCACTTTTATCATTTCTTCATGTCTCTCTCTCTCTATTGAAGACACTGGATGACAAAAAGCTCAACTCCAGAAGACACTGGATGACAAAAAGCTCAACTCCAGTGCTCTTCACTGACCCCTCCCTTTCTTTTTTCTCTTTAAAATATGTTTTAACCGTCAAAAATTGTGTTTTTGGATCTTTAAAAGCAACTAAACTGAGAAGCTAAGCTAAGCTAAGCTTACAAGCTAAGCTAACAGGCCAACCTGGAGGGAAAACCTCCGTCTTGTCGAAACTCCAAAATTCACAGATGAAACCCATACCTTCATGTAAAAAGTTGTTTTTCTCTGCAAAAAGAAGCTGAGAACTTGTTTACTGATTTTTTTATTAAAAGCTTTGTGTGAAAAATTCTATGCTAAAAAGCTCAAACCACATCGAGGTCTGCCATTTTGAGAACCGACAAAAAGGAAGTAAAGACAGCCCATGTCACGTCAAGGGGCCTCCCTCCCATTTTTCTTAAAGAGACACGCTGCTCCCTCACTATCCATCCTTTGGTTCAAACAGTCTTATACTGCCATCCGGTGGTCAAAAAAGGTACTACATGCAAAACAAATTAATTCAATTCAATTCAGTTTATGTATATAGCGCCAAATCACAACAAAGTTGTCTCAGGGCACTTTACAGAAACATTCACATAAAAGCCAATTAGTAAAGTTCTCTATCTAAGGAATCCAGCAGACAAGTTGAATCTTGGCTTCATTGCAGTCTCCCATCCTGAGGAAGCACAGTGGCAACAGTGGAAAGGAAAAACTCCGTTTTAAAAGGAAGAAACCTCCAACAGAACCAGGCTCAGGACAAGCGGCCATCTGCTTTGACCGGCTGGTTGAGAGGACAGGAAGGAGAGACAGACGAACACAGAATGGTAGGTCCAGGTGTATCTCAAAGACAAAAAAAACACATGTTAAGGATAGAAAAAATAGTTACAAATACAAAACAGGTTAATCAGAGTAAGTAAAAACAATAGTAGAGTGAAAAGTGTGGTCAGTTTGTCCTCCAGCAGTCTAAGCCTATAGCAGCATAACTAAGGGACAGCTCAGGAAACCCAAGCCGACCCTAACTATAGGATTTAGAAAAAAGGAAAGTCTTAAGCCTAGTTTTAAAACTGGATAATGTGTCATCTTCACGGACAGAGATTGAAAGTTAGTTCCACAAGAGAGGAGCCTGATAACTGAAAGATCTGCCTCCCATTCTGTTTGTGTAAATTCTAGGAACCACAAGTAAACCTGCAGCCTGAGAGCGAAGTGTTCTGTTAGGAAAATATGGAACAATAAGATCTGTAATATAAGATGGAGCCAGGTTGTTGAGAGCTTTGTAGAAGTAAGATTTTGAATTCTATTCTGGATTTGACAGGGAGCAAATGGAGAGAAACTAAAACTGGAGAGATATGATCTCTCCTACTAACTCCGGTTAAGACTCTGGCAGCAGCATTATGGATCAACTGAAGACGTTTTAAGGACGTATTTGTACATCCAGATAATAAACCATTGCAATAGTCCAGTCTAGACGTGACAAATGCATGGACCAGTTTTTCTGCATCATTTTTAGAAAAGATGTTTCTAATTTTAGTGATATTACGCAGGTGGAAGAAGGCAGTTCTAGTAACGTTTTATTGTGGGGGATAAAAGACATGTCCTGATCAAAAATAACACCAAGATTTTTAACATCAGAGCTGGAGGACAGATTAATGCATCTAAGGAGGGAGAAAGACTGAAAAATTAATTTCTAAGGTGCTCAGGTCCAAAAACTAAAACCTCAGTCTTGTCTGTGTTCAACAGGAGAAAATTAAGGGTATTAATTAATCAACATTTCTAAATTTGACAATTATTACTAATTATTGTCAAATTTCAAGTAATATTATTGTTTATCGCAATAATTTCTGAGACAATTAATTGCCCAGCAAAATTTGTTATTGTGACAGGCCTAGTCTCATCTGTTCACAGCCGCTTCTTCCACAAGTTTGCAGTCTCCATTATATCTTCAGCCCTTGTTTATTAAATGTGGTTTTCCTGGTCTGTCCATCAGCTCTGCAGCTTGTAGTGCTTCTGTGGACAGATCCTTTCATCTCTGCAGAAGAGCTGCTCAGCTCCATCAGGGTTACCCGTGTCCTCCTGGAAGTGTCTGTGGTGGCATAGTCTATTTCCTAATAATGGATTTAATGAAGGACGGCACAGCGAAAGTGATTAGTACTGTTTCCTCACAGCAAGTACCGGTAGGTCGCAGGTTCGCCTCCCTACCTTTCTGGGTGGAGTTTGCATACTGTCTCTGTGCACATGTAGGTTTTCTCCAGGTACTCCAGTTTCCTCCCACTGATTTAAAACATGCATGTTAGACTGATTGGTAACTAAATTATCTCTATGTGAATGAGTGTGAATGTTTGTGTGTCCCTGTGATGGACTGGAGACCTGTCCAGGTGTCCCTGTGATGGACTAGAGACCGTCCAGGTGTCCTTGTGATGGACTGGAGACCTGTCCAGGTGTCCCTGATGGACTGGAGACCTGTCCAGGTGTCCCTGTGATGGACTGGAGACCTGTCCAGGTGTTCCTGTGATGGACTGGAGACCTGTCCAGGGTGTCCCTCGCCTCTCACACAGTGACTGCTGGAGATGGACACCTGTGACCCCCATGACCCAGAAAGAATGAAGCGAGTAAAGATGATGGATGGAGGCATGGCACATTTAGTACATGCATTATTTGACTCATCTGGTGGGTGTGTCACAGGAAACGTGCACGTTTAATTTTTACATGTTGTTCCGCTCCACAGCGTTGAGGCTGACAGAACTGCAGGCAACCTGCAAGTCCCTGCAGAACTCAAGGGAACGTACTTCAAATGTAGGAGAGATGTACTGAGTTGATCAATGACCCCCCCCCCCCCCC